TCACTCTCCCAGGAGCCCAATGTGCGTCTCATCGCACTCTATGACAATGAGGAGGTGAGTAAGGGCACAGTCTGGGATGGCTGGCACTGGGAGGGGCTCCATGTTCTTTGCTCTCCCCCACCCATGCCTGGCAAGAGAGAGACATCCCATGCCCCAGTGGAGGAAGCTGGGATTTGCCTACACCTACATGGAGTGTGGCCTGGTCAGGGGGTGGAAAGCACTCGTGTGATAGGAAGCAACTCTGCTGGCTTTGGGGAGTCCCCTGTCACTCAGCTGGCCCCTGGAGTGTTGGGGGGTTGTGCTGATGGTGGTTCTTGGCAGGTAGGGTCGGAGAGTGCACAGGGCGCGGAGTCCTTGCTAACGGAGCTGGTGCTGCGTCGGATCTCGGCATCACCACACAACCTGACAGCCTTTGAGGAGGCCGTGGCCAAGTCCTACATGATCAGCGCTGATATGGCCCACGCTGTGCACCCCAACTATGTGTGAGTAGCCTGAGCAGTGCCACAGGTCAGGACAGCTTCCCCTGCCACCTGAGGGGACATGTCCCCATCATTCCCCAGGGAGTACAGACCATGCAGTCTTTGTTGTGGCAGGGAGGGAGGGCTGTAGCATGAAACTCCTGCTTCTCTTTCGCAGGGACAAGCATGAGGAAAATCATCGTCCAGCCTTCCACAAGGTGAGGGCAGCCCTCTGCTTTGGGTTGGGACAGACACTTTGGGTCTGTCCTGCAGTGCTGTGGATTGTCCAGCTGCTCCCTGGAGCACAGTTTCGGGGTGCAACTCAGCAGCTCTCAAATGGGAAACATTTGTCCTGCAACAGGATTTGCCTGTGCCACACGTCTGATGTTGATCACTTGGGATCTCAGTCTTGTCCCTGGAGCCCTTCCCTGCTCTGAGCTGGGCTGCCCCTGTCGCAGGGCTGTCTCCATCCCCATAGGCTCACCCAGGGAGGAGAGAATGGTCTGGTGTGATGTGTGATGGGGTGGGACAGCATTGCCTGGGCATGAGTGTTTCCAGAGCCACTGATTATCCCTGGGTCCCATCATGGACCTGCGGCGCCTTTGCTTGTGCAGGGCCCTGTCATCAAAGTGAACAGCAACCAGCGCTACGCCTCCACAGCTGTCACCGAAGCCATAATCCGGGACATCGCCGCCCGCGTGGGTGTCCCTCTGCAGGTGAGCGCAGCTGAGTGAGCCCTCCTGGAACATTGCGAGTTTGGGCTGCAGCCCTGCCCCTCAGTTCATGAGAGGGGGCCTGTGCCAGAGCCCCACTCCTGTTACCATATCTGTGCCCACTGTGGTCTGTGCTGCCTGCTGCTCTGGGGCTCCAGCTCCACTGCTGCCTCAGGGAGCAGGCTGGGGAACAGGAAGGGAATCTGGCCTCAGTGTGTCCCACCTCTGGAGGATTTTGCACCCTGGCTTGGATCAGTGCTGCTTCCTTGTCCCAGGTTGTCTCCCTTCAGGGCTGAGGGCCCATGTGGGAGGCCGTGGGGCAGCATGGGGAGCTGCTGAGGCCTTGTCCCCCTGCAGGAGTTCATGGTGCGCAACGACACGCCCTGCGGCACCACCATTGGCCCCATCCTGGCCTCCCGCCTGGGGCTGCGCGTGCTGGACATCGGCTGCCCGCAGCTGGCCATGCATTCCATCCGGGAGATGTGCTGCACCTCAGGGGTGCTGCAGAGCATTACCCTCTTCAAGGTAAGCCCTATGGACCTCATCCTGTGCTGAATCCCCCTCCCTGCTCCTCTGCATTTCTTGCATCCCCATGTCCCTATCCAACCCCTGCCTTGGGACTGAGCTTTCCCACTCTCGAACCCTCTGGAGCAGCGCAGGTACCGGCTGCTTCCAGAGGTGCCCCCTTGCATACCAGCCTCCCCCAGTGACTGCCATCCCCAAATAGTTACTATGGCAACCAGTGCTAGCCTTGAGTCAGTGATGGGTTACTATGGCGACGTGGTCCTGCTCTCTGCGAGTAGCATGCCTGCTACAACGCTGCCTGCGTAACCCAACAGGGAGCCACTGCC